GTAGTGATAACTGCCTCGGAAACCCAAGGAGGGGTCGCTAGGAGTCGGGGCCGACTCGATGGCAAATAACAACAACAACAAAGGGAAGAGGGATGTTTGGACTAGGAGTCGGGCTGACTTGATGGCAAATAACAACAACAACAACAAAGGGAAGAGGGATGTTTGGACTTGGGAGCGCCGTCAGAAACCCCCGGAGGCTTGGCAGACCCTGTGCTTTAGAGTCAAAGCAGGCTCTCTCAGTCAAAGCAGCCTGTTGCTAACCTGCCATTTTGTTGGGTGGTGAGAAGGTGTAGCCGATGACTGGGTAACCAGAGGCTGCCATCATTGGATTGGGGGGTCGATTGAATGGGGAGGGGTCGAGAGGTGTCAGGAAGAAGAGGAAGGCTGAAGACCTGGGCTTGTCTTCTTCCCCACCCCCTTGGTTTCATTAGTGCCCTTTGAATTGGGAATAGCAGGGTTCAGGACGCCGGGCAGGAATAAAGGGGAGATGTGTACTGTGCCCTTGGCAGTTTCCACACCAATTGGGCGTGAGAACAGTGGAGGAAAGGTAGAAACGTGGCTGACACGTTCCTCTGCCAGCTGTTGTGCCTTCTCTTTTCTTAGTCTACCTGGCAAATCCAAAAATTTTGTGCACACTTCGTTGAGCCCAGGTGAAAGGTGGACCCCCAGGCCTATTGTGCAACCTTCTTAGACTGGAGACCTGAACTTTTTAAAAAGTAGTTTTCTGGAGTTGGAAGCTTTCGAAGCTTATTGTGGACAAGGGGGAAATGTGCAAATATGCATTGGGCAACCAAGCTTGCATCATGCCTTGAGAATGGCAAATAAAGAGTGGAATGCTAGCGAGTCTGCCTTTCCTGCAGGCTGGTTTGTTTGCTTGGTTTGGGCTTTTCACCTCTCCCCTCACTGCCTCCCTTGAGTTTGCATAACCTGGATTTTGGTGCTTTGGTTTCACTTTTGTGCTCTGTGCCTGGAATACCTTGCAAGCATTGGTTTCCTGCCCTATTATGCTGAGATGGCCAAGACACCCTAAATTAAGTTTAGCTCAGATTTGAATCTGGAAAAGGAGACACACGTGAGTTACAGACTAAGACATCTGTAATCGGATCCTATGAGTATATGAGAGGCTGCTTGGTGTTCGATCGCACATCAGAAGCATCTAAATGCTTCCAATGACGGTGTGGGGCATCCAGGTGAAAGCAGCAGGGAGGGTGAGCTTGGGCTGGCTGCACAGCTATGAGGAGGGAGACATGATAAGAAAACAGCAAGCTCCGTGGTGAAAGATTTTAAAGGTTCTGAGCTCTGGTGACACAGTCCTGAAGCCATTTGATTGTTAACCAGAAGGTTGGCAGTTCAAACCCACCAGCCACTCCATGGGAGGAAGACTGGGCAGTCTACTTCTGTAAAGATTTACCGCCTCAGCAAGCCAATGAGGGTCACTCTGAGTCGAAATTAACTTGACATCAGTGGATTTAGGCTACATTGCTCCCATGTTC